CACTATTAAGTCCAAGAAGATCCAAGTGTTTTTGAAACTCAAGCAAGGAGATATATTTGTGGTTGAATACATTCGACAATTCAAGCATGGTTGTCCATACTTTTATTTCGGGCAATGAGGCACAAAAGAAGGAACACTTCCATTAAGGATTGAGAGTTCGGATCCGGAGTCTTGTGAGAGTGTTAGTCGATAGCTATTTAGAAATGATCGATCAAGCTCTTTAAATTGAGTTGGATCAAAAGGAGTTGGTCTAGTCCTCGCTAATAAGGAGGCTAAATATTCCTAGTAGGCATGCTGACCCATTGGGAAATAGGAGACCAATCATGAGGCCTTGGAAGGAAATGTTAGTCGAAGTGCCAAAAAAGTTAAGGCTCTTGTTCCATCACCAAGGAATGAAGTGATGAGCGAGCCAAGTTGTCCGAAATATGGTCGTTCACACACTAGTAACTCGTTTGATTGGCATTAATGTGTGCTATTTCCGTAGAGAGGCTGGGCATTTTGCTAATGAATTGTCCTAAGAGGAAGATAATAGGGGACTAATAAATTCGAGATGAGTCTACAATATAACTCAAGAATAGGTAGATAAGGCGGACCGGAGGAAGGCAAAGGTTATATGCGGTAATCTCCTTATTCAAAATCTTACCGCATTATACACTAATAGATTCAGTTGCCACACATTCATTAATTGGATGAACATTTTTTAAGGAGATTAGGTATGATACCCGAATTACTAGAAGTAATATAGGAAATGGCTCTCTCATCAAGAGAGTCAACTAAGTTCCATCATATGGTGAGGAATTATGAAGTGTAAATTAGAGATGATATTTTACATGTTGACTTAATAGTCTTGAGAATTCAAGACTTTGATGTCATTTTAGGCATGGATTGCTTCTCCAAGAATTTTGCAGCAATTGATTGTGTGGGAAGAAGGGTAGTTTTTCAAAGACTAGGAGAGCAACCTTTTGAGTTGCTACCCAAGACTAAGGTTGCACCAATAAGCATTATCTCGATAATGATAGCTTAAAAGTCAATACAAAGGGGATGTTTAAGATACTTGGTGAGTATGGTTGATACTATTATGGAAGGGAGGTCAAGATTGGAGGATATTAAGGTAGTGTGGGATTTTCATGATGTTTTTCTTGATAGTTTGCTCGGATTGCCCGTATAAGAGAGATTGATTTTGAGATTGAGTTAGAACAGGGGACATCAACTAGATCAAAAGCTCCACATAGAATAGCTCCAATAGAATTAAAGGAGTTGAAGGTTCGGTTATAGGAGCTATTGAACAAAGGATATATCCGACCTAGTTGTTCTCTAAGGGGAGCATTGGTATTATTTGTCAAGAAGAAGGATGGGTCACTTCAGCTATGCATTGATTACCAAAACCTAAATCAAGTGACCATTAAGAATCGAGTACATGCTTTCCTGCATTAATGACTTATTTGACCAATTGAGGAGAATTTTGATATTCTCTAAGATTGACTTATAGTTAGGGTATCACTAGTTGAGGATTAAGGAAGATGACATCTAAAAGACGACCTTTAGAACTCAATATGGCAACTATGAGTTCTTTGTAATGACATTCAAGTTAACCAATGCACCGATTGTGTTTATGAACTTGACGAATCAAGTATTCTCTCGAGTACTTAGATGATTTCATCATAGTTTTCATTGATGATATCCTAATCTATTCTAAGACTTTTGAGGAACATGTAAAGCATCTAGTTAAGATATCGCAAATCTTGCAAGAGCACAAATTACACACAAAGCTTAAGACGTACGCACTTTGGCTCGAGCAAGTAGCATTTCTTAGATATATTGTTTCCAAAGGAGTGATGGTTGATTCTAGTAAAGTACAAGCAATGCCGGAATGGAGACGACCTAAGAATGTGTTAGAGGTGAGGAGATTCCTTAGTATGGCAAGGTATTATCAAAAGTTTGTGGAAGGATTTTCTAAGATAGATACTCCACTAACTAAGTTGATGAGGAAGAAAGCTAGATTTGAGTGGGATGATGGTCGTGAAAGGAGCTTTTAGGAGCTAAAATTCATGTTAGCCACAACACTTGTTTTGGCTATACTAGAGGATTATGAAGACTTTGTAGTCTATACCGATGCATCGAAATTGGATTTAATGCGGTTTTAATGTAACATGGAAGAGTAATTGTCTATGCATCTACATAATTAAAAAACTATGAGAAGAACTATCTCACTTATGATCCGGAGTTGGTCGCTATAATTTTTATCTTGAAGATTTAGAGACACTACTTATATAAGGTCAAGGGTGACATATGCACCAACCATAAAAGCCTTTAATACATTTTCACCGAGAAAGAGTTAAACATGAGGCAAAGGAGATAACTTGAAGTGTTGCATAAAGGGTTTTTTTTTTTCTTACGATAATAAAGGTTATATGATTGATAATTATTTAATCTAAGATGCAAGGTTTTCAAGATATTTTCATCAATAACACTAAAACAAAGTTGGTATAATACAATTTTTTTTATTAAAAAAAATTCAGCATTAATGCCTATAGATTTGCATTTAAAAATGATTATTTTATCATTTATATTAAATTTAAAATAATTATGTCTCACTTCAAAGTTGATTATAATTCTTCAACGTGTCTAAAAATTATGGTACCTTATTTTTTGTAGTATAAGCACATAGCATAATTAATTACTTAATAAGATAATATGGTTATGTGGATTTATGATAAATTTGAAATAGTTAAAATTAATGTTGAAAATTACATAGATGCACAATACAAAGAAAAAAATGGTTTTAACAAAAAATTATGATTCGTTAACTAAAATTCAATATCATTCTGATATAGGTTGCTCAAGCACTTTTTCAATGTCAATTTTGGACTTCTACCAATTATTAAGTCTTTTTTTTATTATTTTTTTTTGTTAAATAAATAATTAATTGTATTTTTTTAGAGAGCAAGATCAAACATATCCATAAAATGTATTTGAACTCAAACATAAAATACACACTTGATATTAAATAGCATAAAATAAATAACAAATAAAAAAATTAGCAACTAATACTAATCGATTTTAGTTTAAAATGCTTAAATTTTCATAATTAACTAAAATATCGCAACAAATTTTATAAAACTACCGATATTAAACTAAGTAATGGTCTACTGTAACCAAGAAAATATTTGAAAGAATATGATGCAGGTTAAAGTTGTTGCTCTTATTCACAGACTTGTTCAATATTTATACAAGAGAATGAGAGCTAATTATCATAGGAACCTAATCACGGGAACTACCAAAGATAGAGAAGGCTAATTACAGTAAGAACCTAATCATAGGGAATTACAATCAAGCACATTAAACATGACAGTGAGGGAGATTGTAACTGCCTAGCAGAGATGATAAATGATGGTATTTTCATTATACACCCCCTCAAGATGGCGGTTGGTCAAAAACGCCAATCTTGCACATAAGATCTGCAAAGTTTGAACTAGGTAAGGCTTATGTGAGTAGATCCGCAAGCTGGTCTTTCCTTGAAATATGAGACACACGAAGCTGTCCATTTTGAACCATAGTACGAACAAAATGATAATCCACCTCTAGATGTTTAATTCGTGAATCGAAAACAGGGTTGGCAGCAAGGTATGTAGCCCCTAAATTATCACAATAGATGACTGGCTGCCTTGGTAACGAGATAGAGATCTCATGAAGTAGACTTTGGACCCATTTAATTTCAGTAGTAGCTGAGGCAACAGAACGATATTTTGCTTCAATTGATGATCTAGTTATACTTCTTTGCTTCTTTAAACTCCAAGAAACTAGATTTTTGCCAAGATAAACAAGAAACACACTAGTTGAAGAACGATCATCTTTATTAGCTGCCCAATCTGCATCAGAGAAGGCATGAAGAACAAGCGAAGACTGACGATGAAGAAATAGGCCATAGGTTGCCATTCCAGCCAGGTAACGAACAACTCGTTTTACAGCAGACCATTGAATTTTTCGTTGGTCGATGGGAAAATTGAGCAAGTTTATTGACTACAAATGCAATATCTGGTTGTGTCAATGCCAAATACTACAAGGTGCGAACAATGGTACGATAGAGCTTTGGGTCATCAAGATGTGAGCTAACCTTCAAGCACAATGAGTTACCAGTAGCTATAGGCGTGGGAACTGTCTTCGCACCGATCATTTGAGTTTTGACAATAAGATAATATTTTCAATATACTTTTTTTGAGAGGGGAAAATTCCATTGAAGGTTCTTACAACCTAAACACCAAAAAAATAGTTAAGAGAACCAAGATTTTTAATGCAGAAATGGTGTCCAAGTTGCAAAATAAAATTATTGACAGCCTTTAGATGACTCCTAGTAACAATTAAATCATCAACATACATCACCAAGTAAATCGCGATGCCCGAGCGACTATAGATGAAAAGACAATGGTCAAAATGGGAAACTTTTAAGTTTAATGTAAGTAGGTAGTTTTGTAATTCTGAATACCAACCTTTGGGTGCTTGCTTAAAGCCATAAATTGCCTTTTTGAGTTTGCACACATGATGAGGCTTTGTGTGATCAACAAAGCCTTTAGGTTGAGCCATTTAAGCCTCTTCTGTTAAGTGCACATGAAGGAAAGCATTATTTATGTCTAGTTGACGTAAAGGACAATCCTGTTTGACACCTACTGTTAAAATAACTCAAACTATAGGATGCTTAGCAACAAGAGAAAATGTCTTAATATAATAAATACCCGGGCATTGTGTGAAGCCTTGAGAAATAAGGCATGCTTTGTATTTGTTTAATGACCCATCTGGATTGAGTTTGACCCAAAAACTCCATTTAGAGCCAACTAACTTTTGTTTCGTAATGGAAGGAATGAGCTCCAATGTGGCTTGTTTTTGCAAGCTTGAATTTCTTCAGTCATAGTTGTTCACCAGTCACAATCAGTCAATGCTTTTGACATAGATTTAGGCTCAGATTTGATCTTGGGTAAGGATTTAGGTTGGGGCATGGTTGTGTTCTAGACATGGGTGATGTTTTTTGTGTCGGATAAGGTATTGTTAAGGCATAGCTTTTGAATTGGTTTATGGATATTATTCTTTGCTCGAGTAAGCATTAGATGAGTGTTTCTTGGTTGATCGATGTCATGGTTAGAAGATAACGAAGTAGTAGATGAATTAGAGAGTGTGCGCTTACTTGAATCATGAACTGATGGGCTCAAGGACTCATTTGATGATGGTTCACTCTCGTTGGAAACCACTGGAGTGGTTGTCCAAAAGGTAGAGTCGACATGAGTGGTCGAATTGGAAGTAGAAGATGTAACTGGGCCATTAATGATGGTTAGAATAGTTGACAGACATGTAACTGAGCCATTAATGATGGTTGGACTAGGTGGCAGACAAGTAACTGTTGTTGAAGGAATAATGAAGTGAGGAGCCCAAGTGTCAAGTGTTGCTTCACTGACTTGATGATCAATCGGTTTCAATTTTTAAAGGGAAACTCATGCTCACTAAAACCAACATGTCTGGAAACAAAACATTTTGAGTTCAAAGGATCATAACATTTATATGCACTTTGATTAAGGAATAGCCAAGAAATACAAACGGAGTTGAACGAGGTTCTAATTTGTTTTGTGCATATGGTCGTAACAACGGGTAACACAAACAACCAAATACAAGAACCTTTTTATAATTGGGTAAAGAGCCAAAAATACATAAATATGGAGAGTCATTATTCAATAAAGGAGTGGGTATTTTATTTATCAAATATGTTGCAGTTTGGAATGCATAGGACCAAAAAGACAATGGAAGATTTACGATGTGAAGAAGAGTGATACCTATTTCAACAATATGCCTATGTCGTCTTTCAGCCATGCCACTGTGCTCAAGAGTGTGGGGAGGTGTTAACAAATGTTAGATTCCAATAGAGGCAAAAAAATCTTTGAAGTGTAGAAATTTGCCACCATTTAGAAACAATAGGGTGGTTAAAATTTTTTTCCACAATAGCCTTAAATTTTTCTCATAGGATAATGTCAAACATATTTTGTATAATGATCCACAAAAATAAGATAGTATTTGAAGGCATCAAAGGAGTCAACAGGGGAAGGTCCCCACACATCAGAATAAATCAATTCCAAAGGACGTTTTGATTTTATAAGGGAAAATTGTGAAAAGAAGTTTTGTGCATTTTATTGCACTTACAGGAATTACAAAAAAATTTGGAAGTAGTCAAAGGAAGTTCCATATGACGTAAAATTGGAGAAGAAGGGTGGCCAAGACGACAATGCCATTGTGAAACAGTAGATAATTTGATGGAGTTGATAGTTGGTGCAAAAGAAGAAAGTGATGCATGTGGTGATGGCCACTCATAGACCCCATCCTTTGGTTTCCCGGCTACCAGAGGCTCCTTCGTGCAGTAATCCTTCACAACAAATGAAAAAGGTGAGAATTCAACAGTTACATTATTCGCTGAGCACCATTGATAAACAGAAACTAGATTCTTTTGCATTTTGGGAACACAAAGGACTTTATTAAGATAAAAAGGTCTAGAATGAAAGGTAGAGATGTAGAACCATAATGTGTTAATGCCAAATTTTTTCGATAACCCAGCAGCACATCTTCACTACCATCATAGTCTGAGTGAAGAGAAACATTTTTGAAGATCGACAGTCACATGATGAGAAGCACCAGAATCAACCAGCCAACTAGGATTGTTGTGGACAGTGGTTTGAGCAAAATTTGCTAGTGGTGGGACCTTTGTGTGCCCAGCATTGAAGGAACCCGAGCCACTTGTGGAAGAGCTTGGACCAAGGAAATAACTTCCAGCATTGTTTTACTGTATGTCCAGGTTTGTCACAATATTGTCAAATCACACGAGAACCATCTTTGTTGGTCTTTGGCAAACCCGATTGAGTTTGCCGTTGATTGGGGAAAGGTGGACCTTGAGAAGTCGATTGACGTGGAAAACGGCTGGTGCGATTGTTGGATCCCCCATGGCGAGATGTGTAGTTTGCTGTTATGGGAGTAGATATTGAAGTACATTCCCGAGTAACAATGATCTCATTATCACATAGCTTTTCATAGAGCGCATCAAAGGAAATAGAGGATTCTTGACTTCGTATGGCAGCAGATACCGCCTTATATTCAGAAGGCAAGCCATTAAGAACATGGAGTGTGACATCATCCATGGTTAGAGTTGCACCAGAGGCATTCAAAATGGTAACAAGTTGTTTCACATGTTGGAGATAGTCAGACATAGATTTGTTACCTTTGGTCACTTGTGCAAGAGACTCCTTGAGCAAATGTGTTAATAGAAACAAGTTGCTGTGCTGCTTCTGATATCATGGCGTTAGCAAAGGGAAGAAGAGAGGCTGGGTTGGAGGCTGGATTTGGAATAGATGGAAGGCAGGGAAGGCTGGGGATGACAGGGTGGGTGTTGGGAAGCGGGGACAATGGAGGAGAAATAGGATTTGTTGTGGCCATTGCTGGTGCAACAGCCTGCCGGGTGTTTGAACGCTCCATAGGTGTGGGAGTTGTTAAGTTGGATGCATGAGAATCCATGGCTAGAGAAAAAAAAAATTTCAGAGTTGCCGTATGGCTACAAGCTCTGATACCATGAAAGCATATGATGCAGGTTAAAGTTGCTGATCTTATTCACAGACTTGTTCAATATTTATACAAGAGAATGACAGCTAATTACAGTAGGAACCTAATCACGGGAACTACCGAAGATAGAGAAGGCTAATTACGGTAAGAACTTAATCATAGGGAATTACAATCAAGCACATTAAACATGACAGTGAGGGAGATTGTAACTGCCCAGCAGAGATGATAAATGATGATATTTTCCTTATAATATATTCTTCCCCTACTCTATTGTACAAGAAACCTCTCTAGAAGCATGAAATATTTGACAAAAAAATAAAATATATATACATTAATTGATGCTTAGTATCAACTATTTCAAGAGCATGTCAATGTCCTAGCTATATCATAAATAGATTTTGACATATACTAGCCACAAACTCTCTCACACAGAAAGTTGTTAAGAGGAGGCTTGTGGATAAATGACTGCGCCATTCCCTGGATTGCAGTAGAGAACAACAAAACTTGGCTGAACCTTGGCTAACTACTAGTCAAAACAAAATACCACATGTCCTAAAGAAAAAAAAAAAGGAAAAAAAGAAAAGAAAAGGAATCAATATCATATCCATTATAAGCACTCGTAACCTGATAACCAGATTCTGCCCCTATACTTGGATATAAGTATCTATCGCTCTGTTGTAGAATAGTGAAACAGATAAAAAGCAAGCAACCCAACATAGGCTACCGTGCCTCTAACGATGTCAAGCTCACCTCGTTTTCTGAGTAAACTTTACGATTGTTTGCTGAAGATTCCTCTTCAAGTGGACTCTGTCCCATAAAAAATCCAGGCTGTTTTGGCTGTGCCAATGGAATCTCACTGCCTAACATCAGAACTACTGCTGACATGTTCGGCCTATCTTCAGATCGCTGCTGGACGCATAATAATGCCACATTAATACATCTTAACACTTCTGTCGGATTGCACAATCCAGTGAAACATTCATCAATCAGTTCCAATGGTGTCCCTTTAATCCACAGCATCCATGCCTGAAACAAAGTAGGCAATATGTTAGTAGACTAATCACTCTAATTTCAAGTGACTTTTGCTAGTACGTAAGAGAAATGTTACTGTAAAATAAAAGGAACTGCAGAGTTTAACATCATCAGTTTGTTCATCAAGATTATATATTATCACTATATTTAGAAGCTTACATGCCCGAGAAGGTTGAGGTTCTGGTCCACATGACGAAATCCCCTATTCTTCTTTCCACTCACTATCTCCAGGACTAGGACACCAAAGCTAAAGACGTCGGATTTCACTGAGAAGTGTCCATCCGATGCATACTCTGGAGACATATAACCGCTGCAAAATATTATCAACACCAGAAGTTCTCAAAACAAACACGTAGGGAAAACGAGAAAGAAAAGGTTAGTCTAAGGATGCTTACTAGGTTCCAACTACCCTATTCGTGTTGGCCTCAGTTTGATCTCCCCCAAACATTCTTGCGAGGCCAAAATCTGAAATTTTTGGATTTAGCTCATTATCCAGTAAAATGTTGCTGGCTTTGATATCTCTGTGAATGATCCTCAGTCTAGAGTCTTGATGAAGATAAAGAAGACCTCTAGCAATTCCACCAATAACATTGATACGCTTACTCCAATCTAGTAATTTTCTTCTCGTTTGATCTGATTAATTTCTCATCCATGTTAGTCCAATAACTAACGAGTTTCAATTAACACCAATAAAATAATAAATGATTGCCGATAAACTAAAATGTTTCATCTAAACTGGGCGTACCAAAAAGAAAGAAGTCCAAACTTTTGTTCGGCATGTATTCATAGATTAACATTTTTTCATCTCCATGAATGCAACAACCTAGAAGCTTTACAAGATTGCGGTGCTGAAGTTTAGCAATTAATATAACTTCATTTTTGAACTCGTTCAATCCTTGACCAGAACTTTTTGAAAGCCTTTTCACTGCTACTTCTTTCCCTCCTATCAATGATCCCTAAATCATGAATTGCATACCTCTGTTAGTTTCTATCGAATAACCTGAAACAGTAGCAAATGTTATGTTACCTTATATACGGGTCCAAAACCACCTTCTCCCAGCTTGTTGCAGCTCGAAAAGTTGCCAGTCGCGTGTGCTATGGTACTCAAGTTAAATATGGGTAGCTCCATGTCTTCTTTCCTTACTTCAAAATTGTCGTTCTTCCTGCCATTCCTCCTCCAAATGTAGAAGATTATTCCTAAAATTAACATCGCTACGCCCGATATAGTGGTAGCAAGTATTCCTGCTTTCTTCATCTTACTTGAGTTCCTTTTTTTCACGGTTACACCTAAATGCAGTGCAGGATGGTTAGAAGATACTGAATGTATTCCCTAGTTCTAGACTTGCAAGTTTGGATTTCGAGTTGATCAAGGGAAAAGAAAGAAGGAAGAGAGTAGTTTTCAAAAATTGTGACAATTGTTGGTTTTTCCTTTTCAAAAAATAAGAAAAAAAAATCCATAACAAATTCTGTTTCTATCCTCAAAAATTTGAAAATAAAAACAAAAAATAGAAACCAGGAATGATATCAAGTTTGATGAAGGAAAGTGGTGTTGAACAGCATAGAAGATTTCCTAGTTTCTACGCCATTGCCTTTCCAGTATCTCTGAACCCAGGAGAACCGAGATTGTTCATGGATTCCCTAGTTGCATAATTGGAAGACATACCTAATTCTGAAGCAGCCATCCTGACATATAGATCTTGTCCATTCTCAGCTTTCTTTTTTATATCAATCAAGCCACCAAACCAAATCAGGCAGCCACTTCCACCTCCCCTGATATCTAAATTTGCATAAGCAGAGCAGGAGCAGTTCCTCAAACATAGTCCCTCGCATTCTTTGAGACCAATGCTCTTGTCAAACCAGGAAGAAAATGTGTCTGGCAGTTTATTCCCTGTGTACTTCAAAAAACCATCTTTATCACTGCAATGCATTGGAGTCCTTCGGATACATCCATCTGACCAATCTGAAAAATTCCAATTTGTTAGAGACTTGGGCATGAATCCCTCCAAGCATTCACATACCGGAGAAGTAGACATATCACAGCGAGTGTTTGGACCACACAAGGCATAATTTTCACACTCGTCAATCTGACCATTATTAAAAAGCACCCAATCATGTGTTCGATCATTCCATGTGAAACGCTGTTGAAAACCCGATGGATTTAATGTAAGCCTTGAAAAAACTGAACTTGCCATCAGCTGCTCAAAATAAACCTCGTTCTTGGTGAACACAAATTTATTTGCGGTAATTGGATTAGGCGTAGAAGCACGTGCAGTAAATTGTAGGCCATTCCATGACCCCGCTCTAAACAGTGTTCTATTCCCTCTCTTCAAAAGTAGCTGTGGATACCCATGAGGATCTATAAGAAAAGAAAATTCACCTCGAGCAGGATCTTCTGAGCTCTTCCAGGATGACAGAAACCTTTCAAGTCCAGTCACAAAGTTGATTCCCAGCTTCATTCCAGGTAGTAAGGTGTCACAAGGATAATCAAAACTCTGCCACATAAAGTTGGCAGGGTTATTATCATTTTCTTCCCTTACAACAAGATTTCCCGACTCCAAGAGCTGCGCAACTGGATTCTGAGCTGTTCTTGACACATTTGAATGGGATGACCAAACAGGATCGTTTATGCTATTAAGGAGGATAACGATCCCTTGTTTGGTAATATTTAGAGCTCCCAATTTATTAGAAAGTGGATTTTCTCTGTTGGCTACCCACAAAATTGGCTGAGGAGACTTCTGATACCATAACCCCAAGTATCGGTTTTTTGAGTTTGCTGGGCTGAAAAATCCTAGTTCAAAGCTTCCGCCTTTTGAAACCAGAGTCTGACCATCTCTCATGGATTGGCTAGGGTTGATAATATCTAGTGTGGTAGAAGTAGGTAAGATGGATGATAAGAAAGAGAAGACAAAAAGCAACTCAAAGCTTCTCATTTTTGAATTTCTCTGTTGACAATGTGCTCTTTGATGTGGTCTAATATTTTGGGTCAAATCAAATATGGGCAACTCCATATCATCTTCTGGGTCTTCAACGTTATTTTTTCTCAGATTTATCCTCCTCTTCCAAAAGATCGTTTCTGATGTTAGCATGCCCATGACCAATATGAAACAGCTGACAGTTATTCCTGCCTGCTTCTTGGTAATAGTTCTTTTCTTCTCTGCTTCACCTGAAATCATAGAACGGCGGTTAGAATACCTGATCCTTAATGTTGAATACGGTTTTTTACAAAGAAGTTGAAGTCTGCATCTTTATTTTGCTGTTGAACTGAACTGAAGAAAGCAAAAGAGAAAAGAAAATTTAGATTAACTATGTTTGGATCGGGACAGTGGTGCAGAAAAGATGTGCAAATCAGCAGTCAACACATCCTAAGCCATCCTCCATGTTTTATTAAACCAACCTAATCTGAAACGATTCTTCAATTTCTGTTAATGCTAGAGGGGAGTCATAAAGCAATTATTAGTTGAGTTTAAATAGTGAAAGGAATACCTAATTCTGAAGCAGCCATCCGTACATAGAGATCGTGTCTACCGTCTGTTAATTTTCTTAAATCAATTAGGCAATCAAACCAAAGCACGCAACCACTTCCGCCTTCCCTGATATCTAAATTGGTGTATGCAATGCAAGAGCAATTTTTCGAACACAATTCCTTACATTCCTTAAGACTAATGCTCTTGTCAAACCAGGAAGAAGATGTATCTGGCAGTTTAATCCCCATACATCTCAGAAAGCCATCATTATAGGTGCAGTCCAGAGGAGTGCTTCGAACAGAGCCGCCTGACCAATTTGACAAATTCCAATCTCTTTCAGACAATGGCATGAATCCACCCAAGCATGTACGTACGAGAGAGTTATTGATATCGCAATGAGCATTTGGACCACATAAGGCATAATTATCACATCCATCTGCCTGGGGCTGAGAGAAGACAACCCAGTCAATTGTTTGATCGCTCCATGTGACCTGTTGCTCATGGCCTAATGGAAATAGTGTAAGCCTGGAAAAAACTGAACTGTTTTGAAGCTCGTACTTGTTATATACCTCCTCCTGACGGAATACAAACTCAAAGGTATAAATTGGATTATGCATGAATCCAGTAAACCCTGTAAAGTATA